CAAGATTGTATAATCTGCATATTGTAGGTTATTCAGTGAGTTTTCAGAGGCTGTAAAATGACTAAGGATGACAGAAGAAGAATTGATGCCTTTGAATTATGATGCTTTAGAAGAATCTAGAACATACTATGGACTGCCAAGAAAACAAAAAAGGTCTCTCTTGGAGAGGGTAAGACCAAATCTTTTCTTTGAGGCTATGATTTTTAAGTTCTGTCTCCCATACTCTGGGTATGTGGCCAGCAGGTTCCAGTCCTTGGAGAAGGACATCATTGTAAGGGTAGAGGCACAGCCCAGGAGAGGAAGACCTCATATGAGATGGATTGATACAGTGACTGGAACAATGAGGGTTGGTGTAAAAGAATTGGTGAGACTTGCTCAGGACAGGGCAGCATTCAGAGTTGCTATACATAGAGTTGTTATGGGTCACAGGTGACTTAACAGCACATAACAACCACCACAACAACAGCAACAAATTAAATAGAAGGAAATTGCCCATCATTTTCTCATGGAGCAGCTAGTGGGTTTTGACCTTGTGCCTTCAAAATGGCAGTGCAGCTCCTTACCACTAGGCCACCAGGGATCCACTATTGTTGCATATGTCAGGTAGATTTTGGTTGAAAGCAGAGAGTAGCAGAAGGATATCTATTTTTGTTTTACCAACTATGGAAAGGCATTTGACTCTGTGAGTCACAACAAATGGAGACAAATGGGAATCCCAGAACATTTGATTGTGCTCATTGGAACCTATACCTAGACCAAGAAACTTCTTTTTGCTTGGAGCAAAGGAGCACTTATATGGGTCAAAATGAAGAAAAGAATGTGCCAAGGATGTATCCTTTCTCCATAACTTTTCATTCTATAGGTATAACATATCATTAGGGAAGCTGGACTTTATGAAGAAGAACATGGCATCAGGATTGGTGAAAGACTCAACAACACATGTTAAGCAGATGATGCATATTGCTTGTCTAAAAAGAGGAAGACTTGAAACATTGCTATAGAAAATAAAGGACTGTAACCTTCAATATGGATTGTATCTTAATATAACAGTCAAAATGTACAGTCTCTGGATAGAATTCTTTCTCCTTTCAGAAACCCAAGATTTTTTCTAAGACTGTTCAGCTGAGACCCATTCCCATGTTTATGGCTAATCTTTTTTGTGGTCGTGTACAATTGTATGGGAATCTCCCCGCTGATGCTTCAGCAGGTTTTTTGAGGCAGTTAATGACAAGGGAGGCTATTGCCCATCTTCCTCCTGTAATCTCTTTTACTTAGAGTAAATTAATTATAAATGACAATTTTTAAATATTAACAAATAATATTTTTATTAGCCACAATATCCATACTAATGTTTAACCAGAGAATTTGGAACTATAAAGTAGACAAGCTAAAATAACTATAGACAGCAAACAGGTGAGGAAATACTATGCAGTATTTTATTCTGTTTAAGGGTTCCATATCAACCTCAAATTGAACATGTTTATGTTTTTTCTTTCTTTTTTAATATTACATCCTCCAAGATCTAATGCATTTTTCTCTTGTCTGCTGATCATTTGACCTTTTTACCATAAAGAGTTATTGTTGAATGATACTTTGTCTTCTTCATGTGTTTTCACTCGTACAATTATTAACATGCCTCTTTATAGTTATATGGTCAAGCGTGAAAGAACTCCGGTGGAGCAGTAGTTAAGTGGCAGGCTGCTAACTAAAAAGTCATCTATTAGAACCTATTAGTCATTCTGTAGGAGAAAGATATGACAGTTGGCTTCTGAAAAGATGTAAAACCTTGAAAATCATCTAAGTACCTCTACTGTCATACTGTGGTACTGTGGGTCAGAATTGACTTGATGGCAGCAACTTTTTTTATTCTTCACCAAAAATATAGGATCAAAAAATGTTATAACTATAGGAAATTGTAAAAGTTGCAAACCTTGAAGCATGAATTCTGTGTTAGGATTTAGTCTGGAAATTAGAACTTTTCTAAATACTCTGAAAATAGGTGAAATAGGAAAATAATAATTTTAAGATTTTTTGGGAGAACAAAAATTAATAAAATTGCTATAGAGAGCATGAAAAAAAATGAATACTGACAATCTCAGGATGAAACCTACGAAAGAATGGTTATGAAAATTCAGTGGAAAGTGCTGTTGACTTATAGAAATCTTTGAAATAAGTTCTACTAGCAGTCTTGGCAGTGAAATACTTACAAAGAAGCCATAATGAATTTAATCTATGCTTATCAATCTGGCTACAAAGATTTCTGAGCACAATGCTCATTCATTAAGAATTTATAGATTAGAATCATACAGGCAAGGAGATCCTTGGAAAAGACAACTCAGTTTCTCTTCACATTTAAAGAGCAATTAAGATGGCCATATATTAAATCAAGCTGAGAATAGACAATTCAATACTGATTGCTTGAAAATAGCCATAGTTTCAAAAGTTACCACATCGTTGATTATATTACTTTAACTGTCTATATAAGTATGCTAATGCTGGAAGAGACTGGATGTGATAGGATATATTTCACACTCTTTCATTCACTTGACTTCAGTTATATAGGACACACACAGGAAGCCACATCAAAGCAAAATTACATTACATCAAATGTCATCAAGGGAATGAACTTTTCACAACTGCCAAACCAGCCAATCATAAGATGCCAAACTGACACACAGCTTTAGCCACCACAAAAATTATTGTGATAAATGAAGAATTTTTAAAAATTCAAACTGTTTTGTACTTTCTAAAAATTAAATATCATTTAAAATCAAATGTATCTCCCTCTCCCTTTGCCTTTTCACTGTTTTTTTTTTCTTTAAATGCAGAAGCCTTAGGATCAGAATAAAATATTTTTCCCCAAAATTACATGCAGCTTGTAGGTTTATGTGGAAATCAATCAATATTGCCTTAAGAGATTTCTTTTCAAATGTACTATGCTGTTTCTTTTTTGGGAGCTCTGGTTATTAATGGTAAAAAGTTATCCTCGGAACCTACAGGCACATGGTTTGAATGCACCAGTTGTTTCATAGGAGAAAGATGGACAATCTACCTCTGTGTAATTTATTTCCTCTGAAAACCTGTTGCAGGGTAAGCTCTGAGTTTGTTCTGATGCAGAGTTACACAACAATGTTTCATTTTTACAATAACATTTGAAAAATAATAGAGGTTATGAAAATACTTCTTAAGAAGAAAGAATGGCTCGTAAATACGTATAGAAAAGGCATGGTAGTTTCATAAAAAGGTAACCAATAAAAACAATATTTGGTAGCAGATTTTCTCCAGACAAAATTAAACAAACAATTATCTTAAAAACAAAATAGGACTCTTGTGGCCTAGTGGTAAGAAGCTGCACTACAATCCCAAAGGCATGTGGTTCAAATCCACCAACTGCTAGTATAAGAAAGATGGGCATTCTCCTCCAGTGCAATGTACAGCTTTCAAAAATCCACTGAAGGGTCAGCTATGTAATGGTTCCAACTCAATGACACATATCAATAGTAAGTCCACGATAAGTAGTTCAAGTAAAAATTGTGCCACATTCTTGGATTGCTCAAGAAAGGTTATCTTTTTAATGAGAAACTTTAAGTGTTCTAATAGCATGACTGAACAATGTGGTAAGAATTAAAATTCCCCTCCTTTACATAACATGAGGTGCTAGCACACTTCTAAAAGCTTTCCAAGACATCAGCAGATTAATCTACCAGATGTTCCACAGGAGAAAGATGTGTATTACTGCTTTTATATTATATATTAAGTTATAGTCTTGGAACAATTTATTCTCTGCTTTATAGTCACTAAGAGTTGGAACAAACTTGGTGGAAGCAGAACTGTTGTCTATTGCTGATATTTTATTGTTGGTTATACTTCACATATGAAGACTTTGAGACTTTACAGTAACTTTTACAATGTCCCGCAGTGCAGACTTTGCTGCACTCAAGCTACATGAACTCTCTTATAACCATTCAAAACTTTCTTAAAATCTACTCCAATTTCAATGTAATTTTAAGTATCTTTGTATTATGTGCATACATTTATATTCAAATTTATTTCCTTATGTTTATTTTCAGAGCCAAAAAAATGATTACCTTATCCTTGAAAGTCTCCATTTAAAAATTATGTTTAGAACCTTAATTTACGTTCTCTGTAATATTTTTGTTTATATTTAAATAGAGCTGATTACACACTTTTAAATGCAGGAGTGACATCCACTTCCTAAATAACATGCCTCTGGAAACTCTATGAACTTTGATAAGTGTCGATAATTGTAGAGGAGCTTCTGGCCTTTTGTTTATAGGGTCGCTGTGAGTTGTGCTTGACATTATTAAAAAAAACATTTGCTTCTGTGCTTAAATAACTCTTTTGAGGAATAAGCTCTTTTGAAGTAAGTTTTGACCCATCATAATATTTAGATTAAAATTTATTTTCAATAAATATATGTTATTTAGCCAGTTATACATAGCAATTAACTTTTATACAAGATATATTGGAAACAAATTCATGGTTTCTATAAATTAAAATGCCTAGCAGTATAGTCCATAAGGTATTCTACTTCTAACCTGAAGACCTTGTCTCTCTGGTATTTTGAATCAAAACAGTGACTATAAAGTTGAAAGATATGTAATCTCTTCCTATGTAATTTACAACCTCAGAATTACAGCTTCAATTCCAGGTCAGCCAGAAGTTGGTTCAGAGGGTATAGCAATGAGTTTGTGGGGTTGTTACTTAAAATTTTAATAAAGACTTACAGTAATATTGTCGCTAGGTGTCATAGAATTGACTACTACTCATAGCAACCCTATGAACAGAGTAAAAGGTAAAAAAAAAATACTTAAACTACAAGGTTCTTCAACAGAATTTTCCTTGTAATTGATAAGGAATTAAAACACTTGTATGAAAGAAAAAAAAAAGATAATTGATGAAGTGGGAAAAAACAAAAATTTATGTGTGAAATATTTTTCTCAGGTTTTTACTTCAATGTTAAATTATATTGTTATAAATCACTTTCTTGGAAAACATAACATCTTTTGTAATACATCTCTGAAGACTTCTTTCACCTGTTGATTCCTTAAAGTATAAATAAAGGGATTTAGTAAAGGAGCAATTGAAGTATACAGCAACGCCACACCTTTGGATACTGTCACCCTTTCTTTAGCAGATGGCTTTATATACATAAATATACAGCTACCATAAGTCATGGAGACAACAATCATATGAGAAGTACAAGTAGAAAATGCTTTGGTCCTTTGCTGGGCAGAGGGGAATTTCAGAATGGTCTTAATGATGTAGGTGTAAGACAGAATCACCAGCACCAAAGTGACAGCAAGAGTCACCACAGCTAAGATAAAAGACATCAATTCGAGGACATGGGTGTCTGTGCAAGATATCTGTAAGATAGGCGATGTTTCACACATAAAGTGATCAATAATTCTTGAAGCACAAAACTCCAGCTTGAGTCCCATGACTAAAGGGGGAAAGATGATCAGGAATCCCGTTACCCAAGAACTGAGCACAAGTTGGTAGCACACTCTGCTGCTCATGATGATGGGATAATGCAGTGGTTTGCAGATGGCTACATAACGGTCATAGGACATAGCAGCCAGAAGATAAAACTCTGTAACGCCCAGTAAAAGGATAAAAAATAATTGCGCTGCACAATTATTGTAAGAAATGGTTTTGTCTTTAGTCACAATGGTTATCAAGAATCTGGGAATGCACACTGTTGTGAATAGAATTTCCAAAAATGAAAAATTTCTAAGAAAGAAATACATAGGAGTCTTGAGACGTGCATCCAGCAGGGTAAGTAGGATAATAACGAAATTCCCCATTGTACTGAACAAATAGTTAAGAAATAGAAAGAAGAAGACCACAATTTGTAATTGTGGGTCATCTGTCAACCCCACTAGAATAAAGTTTTCCATTGACTGGTTCTTCATTTCTCTCCTGTATGCCTTATTAAACACATAGAAGAAAAGAAGTAAAAAAAAATTAGACAGAGCAAGATTTTTTTTTACATAAAAAAGAGAAAAGATTATCAGACTTACCCATTTGTAAATTATGTTTCCAGCCTAGATATCAGATTGCTCTTGAAAATATGCCAAAACACAGTTTAAAATTTCTCCAAATCCTGTATTTCTTTTTAAAATATTCCTGAGATTTTGGGCCAATATATGTTTTAACCAGTCATTTCCAAATGTTGTTTACTCTGCATATGTGATTAAAATAAAAGAAATATATTAGAGATTTTAAGTATATTTTCTATGTTTTGTTTAAAGAAAACTGATTTGAACAAAATCACATTTTAACCTAGAAACAATTTTTAATTTAATCTTACATATTGTTCAAAATTAGTCTCAAAAAGAGCTCTCAAAGTTCCTATAATTGATACTTCAATCATTTTCAAACTTAATCTAACTTAAATCCATTTATTCATCAATAGTTGCTGCTAATTTATTATAACAGAAGGTGGGGGTTCTCTTATTAGCTAAATTTTACCCTTAGAGGCAAGGGTGGTGATACTAGGTGTTGTTCATAGGACATCAATGAATCAGAGTTGACTCAAGAATGACACATAACCATTACATCTATCTATCTATCCATCTACATACCTATGTTTTAATAATCTTTAAAGTGTATCACAGTATTTTCAATAGTGTAGATTTCTTAAATATAAATAATTATTCATTTTAACTACCATTAAAAAAATAAAACAAGTTGAGATTCTGTTTTAGTCTCCCTTTCCTAATACTTTCAGATTATTTGTAATGTCAATTTCCATTATTTTCATCATAGCTGAGTAAATTTTACTAAATTTTTAAAAAATGAGTTTTAAAGTAAATTTTAAAACCTGAGTTTGAATTTTATTATAATTATCACACTATTAAATTACAAAGTTTTATTACAACTACGACACTATTCAATTATTAATGTTGATGATTCATTGTTATATATTTAATAGTTTAGTACCCTAATCTCAATAGTTTTGGGGGTTTTTTGGTTCTGAAATTATTCTCTACTTTTATTTAGTGGACTGACTATACTTAAACAATTACTTTATCAAAATGTTGAATAGATCTAAAGTGCAAAACATTATAAAAACAGAAGAAAACAAATATATAATAAATTCTATTATCATTTTAGAATTAGTTTTCTAAATAAGTTGACATAATTTGGCACATTATTATTTAGAAAATTCTGGATATCTAAAAATGATATTAATTTTTCATTTTCAATAAAAATGAAACTTAATTTCATGCTGTACAATTTCTATCACCATAAACATGTCAGTTTAGTTCATTATGTTCATAATGTGAAAATGTTTCTAAAGATGGGGGGTTAAAGACAATTATGAAAAATGAAAATTCATTTGATATTTTATTCATTTAGATAGAATAATGTGATTTGGGTTAGCCTGCTTGCAGAAGTATTGACACTTTGTATTCACCTTGTACTGATGGAGGACTGCCAAGAGTCAAAGGTCTGTTTGATGGCAGTGGGTCTCTTTTTAATATCACTACAGCTGCTAGGTAGTAACAATCTTTTATTGTACAGATAAACATTTCAGCCTTTGCTGTTTTTATGACTTCCACTATTGCTCCACTCCAGATTTTAAGCAAAACTTTCTAGGAACTAATACATTTTTTATGATTTTGGGCTTCTACCAGACTACTTTAGAATGATACTATCTCAAATTCTAGTTTAGAGATACTCATTGGTTTGCTTTATATGTTCACAGAATGGAACACTTAACAACTAAAATGTCAGACAAAATAAAAGGTAGACATAGCATTTTATAATATTAAAATTTTGGTAATATCTACTGTATATATTATCATTAAATTACTCTTTCAATAATAAAGAATTATAAAACATCACAATTTAGTAACCATATATAACTTAGTGAATTTGACTTTGTGGGTAGTTACCTTAATTTCTGATTTTGAAGTGAAAATGATTGTTGGCTTACCTTTTGGAATCTAATGTTCTTCTGTGTGTGCATAGCAGAATAATGCATAAATATAATTAATGATTAATTTTCTGCCTTCTAAATTTTAAAAATGTTCATCAAATTTTATTATTCTGCAGGAAATTTTATTGCTAATTTAGTACCCATTTTATGAGAAACGGCAATGTGTACATATTGAGTTTCTCTTCACATGCCCTCAGCTTAATAGGCACTATAAATCTTCAGAATAAGGTATTAAAAATTTTTGTTATCATACAATTTCCATACTGAAATTTTGTTATTAATGACCTCTATTAAAAGTATTAGGCTTGGGGTGCTATCGTCTAAAAACCTAAAATGTGTATATTAACTAAAAACATAATACAATTTGAGTAGTATAAAAATGAATAATCTGATGTAAGATAATAAAATCTTCCAACTAAACCTATACAACATTAATACACATGCTCTTTCAAAATGCTACAGTTTCATAATTTCTTATTTACTAGTCTTAAGAGATTCTACAGAAAAAAAAATATTTCTCTAGAGATTAGGTTCCACAAGTACTAATTATTTGTAATAATGTATACCTTTGTTATCTACTTTTAAAAAAAATTGAAGAGAAAATATCCCAGAGGAGTATTATAAATTATTTAGCTAAAGCAACAAAATACATTACAGGAATGTAAGCAGTTTTATTGTCCTGGGACAAGACTGGAAATTTTAGCTAGTTTACACCAGCAGAAAATGTCTTTCTTCCAATAAGAGAAAGCATTAAGTCTAGACTATTGTTCATCATTTTAAATTTTTTTT